TATACTTATTAAAGGAATACAAAAAAAAATCAGCCCATTCCCAGAAACATACTGCGCTCCTCCAGAGGATGGACGCCTTGCGCCACCCACCTCAGTAGAGCCTTGCCATTGCCTGAGTCAGGGGAGGGGCGCAGCAATCCCCACCAAAATTCCAATGGCATTTTAAAAATAACCTGGAATTAGAAAAAATATCCTGATATTGCTTAAGAAACCACAAAAGTATAATTAAAGTGATATGAATAAAAGAATAAAATAGATACATGATATTTTCTGATTTCAAAATGTAAAGACCCAGTAATTAAAGGTAACAAATAAGTCAATTTGCCTAGCTGAATCATTATACAATCTGTACATGTATTTAATTATATAATTATGTAAATGCATCTAATTATTTTCAGTTATAAATTAAAAATTAAGATAATAAAAAAAAGTGTGGCAATGGCATATATACAAATCCAAGGAGCAAAAGAGTAAGACCAGAAATAAAGCTACATGTATAGCATCAACTAATCTTTGACAAAAGAGTCATTGGCTTGATATTGCCCAACATCCAGGGATTTTACAGGTTGTCAGTTAAGTGACCTATATTCAGTGATAATGCACCTGCCCCACCATTTAATTGGACACAGATAGGTTTAAATACATGTGAGTTGGACTGATTAGCAAACCCAAGGTTGTCTGGACTGAAGGGCCAAGGGCCATTGTTGCTGTCATTGTAACAAGACCTCATTCTTGCAATTTGCTTTCTTTTTAGCTGAATTTTACGCTTTACAAGAGTATACAGTGAGATTCTTCTCTCTGAATAATATGTGTACTTGAATAACAGATTACTTGGAGTTCATATTTTGGTGCCACTTTCTATTTTATTCTTTATAGAATTTACAGTTGCTGATGAGGAAACTTCTGTAAACTGAGTTGCTACTGTTTTATAGGCTTTTATTTTTCGTTAGTTCCCAAGACACTTTTTGAAATAAACTTTATTCACATAACTAAGGAATACAATGTGATATGAGAGAATATATATTACAGTAAAAAGGATACTATAGTGAAGCAAATTAACATATCCATTATTTCATAGAGTATACCATTCAGAAACAGCTAAAATCTACTCATTTACGATGAACTCCATGTATAGTACAATTTTATCATCTTTTGCTTTATGTGTTTAGGATTCTTTTATATATACTGCTTTGTACAAGATGTTTTTAATCTGTGTAATTGTATCTTTTTAAAATTCTTAATTAAAATCATAATAATTATCTACTAAACTTTTTCCATCTTCTTTTATCATAGAACATCTGTGGGTCAGATTCTGCAATTTACAATA